TCGAACACACACAGTCCACACGGATCGATTCCCCCCCCCTTCATGAGGGGATGTCCGTCCATCAGGGAGTGCCACTCCATTTTCTGCTCCTCCGAAAGAAACTCGTCTACGAGTGGCGTCTCAAGACTCAAGAGCAGGCGCCCTCCATTTTCGGAGAACACGGTGAATCGCCTGAAGTTCGATTCCCGCCAGATAGAATTCCATTGTATTCACTCACGGGACCTCGAGGCTGCCCTAATGTATCAGAGCAGCCTAAAAAGCCATCCGAGTCGGTGAGATCGCTCTCAGCAGTCCCTTCTCGAGCTGAGCGGGGCGGATTCGAGCGAGGGGGATTCGCGCCGAGGATCAAGGTCCCAAGGGTATCTGGAGGCCCCATAAATATAAATTCCTATCATGACAGACCTTACTCGTGAGAGGCTTTTGGCGCCTCGAATCGGGGACACTCTTTTAAATGAACCGCATGCAGGATGCGGTACGATCACTTTTTGAATCGCTCAAGCTGAGGGGCATTGAAGCGGGATTCGGGTCAGAGCTCCGACACACGTCAGAAATTCTACCTGACCGGAAAGCGTGATAGTCCACCGGGAATCATGGAGAATGAAGCGTGGTAAACGGAGGATAAACCGGGGAGACTTCTCTTAGATCGTTAGCGTCGTCAATTGGCGGGCCGCAGAGCTCGCGGCGCAGCAGGATAGACTTATATCGAATCTCGGGCGTCCCTTCGCTGAGCGAATCATAGAATAATCGAGCGCGTGTATCCCGAAATGAGCGTTGTAAATAGCTGCGGAGGTCTGAGAGTGGCGCTGAATAACTCAAGGGCTCATCCGATCAAATGGTCGAGAAAATCGATTGCCCCGACTACACGTCAGAGCCGATTGTCGCTGAGTATGCGCGGGTATCCTCGTGCTTTTCAGCTCTAGCCAGGCTCTTGTCGTGCGCCAATCAGCCCGATCTCAATCAGCTCGAATATTGGACTCCTCTGTCCATTATGGCTGATGGCTCAGTTTTAATGTGGTGACGATCTCTAGCCTAGCAGCCGATTCCCCCTTATCGAGCGGTCAAGGCGCCCTCCATCCTCGTCTGCGTAGGCTCAAAGTCTAGCACATCGATCGGTAGAGCTGAAACAATTATGCTTTGAGCCTCCGATGTGGCTTGTGACGGCGCTCGGTGAGTTCCAATGCGTCCGCAATCGGAATTCACGGTAAGGAAGTCTCGGGCAGAGAATTCCTCCACGGGTCGCACAGCCTCGCTAAAAGACTCGAACGCCCTTGAAGTCGTACGATTCACGACAATCTCCCGATTAAGTAACCATAATCTCTCCCATAACTGTATACGCCTTCCGGGAAGCTTGCTTCCCCTGATTCCACTGCCCCGAGGAAAATCGCTTATGCTCTCCCTAGGGTCGGTTCTCGGTTATTCCGAACGATGGTTAATAATAATAACAGAGGTGTCAGGCAGACACTCGGAGGCAGAAAAACAAGGGCAGAGTGAGATTGAGTTTTCTCGGTCACATACCATTCCTCAGGTCCTCTTTCCGTTATCCTAGCATTGCGCTCTCAAATCGGTCGACGTCTCCTTGAATATCGGTTAAGTTCTCCTCACCCGCTCTCATCTCACCGAAACGCAGCAGGAAGACGAAATTATGCTTGCCATCGATCGCGGGATGTGCAAGAACTCTTCATGTGCCTTCGGCAGTGTCGGTGATCTGATGGACGGAACAGGTGACGAGGAAGTCAATTACGAAACCACCCCCGCAAGAGCATGCAGTTGACACTCAGACAATCACGACGCTGAAGGGGGGCTATAATGAGGCCACTCATAATGCTGTAGTCGCGAACGAGTCCGGTCGTAGTCCTCTTGGGACTGGACGCAACTGTGATATCACATCTCAGGTACCGCGCGTGAATCCTTAAGTCTTTCAGCTGAATCGAAGAACTCTCAGCCTTCCGATAGAGTTCCTCGAATCCTCCTGCCCCAGAATGTTCGAATCTCCCCAGCGGAGACCTCATCGCGACCACAATCGATCCTCCATGCGATCCACCCTATCTCATTTGGGCTTTCTCTGCTGATATGATGACTCGGAGAGTGCTGGTGGATTTGAGCAAGAAAGAAGTGTCGCGTGCTCACGTCACAATCACTTCGCTAGTATCGAGCCTGGGCAGCAAAAAAAACTTTCTCGGGGTGGACCACACAGCCAAGGTTTAACGTCCGGGGTAGTGTTATTCACATTGTTTCCGAGGACGGATCCATAAAACAAATGTACCCAGGAGGATCGAGGCCGAGTACCTGCGCTTCCGAAAGGAATGTTTTTCCGGCATCAGGGATCGAACCCACACCGCTTCCCGCGCGAGCGGCATCGTTGCGGCATTGCACGAAGTGAAACGCACGCTTGCACGAGAAGTGACGAACGCTAATAACTCGACCACCCGTCGGGCAGCCAGAGCTATAGTATCCATACGTGTGTGCACGTCGTCGACGTATCTCTGGTCATCTTGAGTCCAAATATACGAAGCAGTATTAAGGCTTCGCTCTCGACTGTATATTTCGCGATTTAACATGAAGACCGCGGCTATCACATCGGATCCGTTCCGTCGGAGTCCGAGTTCGATTGCAACATGGCTATATTTGTCCCTCGCTTTTGACATTGGAAAAAAGACTCTGCTCAATCTTCCGAGCTCCTTCGTTGCCATGCATCGGGGAGAACTGATCGCAATCCGCTGTACATCTATGATTTCGTGGGGGAACTCATGGGATTTATCAGGGCAACTGCACGCGTTGGGGAGTCGCTGCAGTAGCGAATTCCACCTTGCTTGTAGGGAACTGTCTGCAAACATATAAATCTTCATGAGTCAGCTCGAGGCGTACCACTATCCCGTGGATCATTCCACTGGGAACAGCCATGGACTACCTTGCCCTGGGACGTGACGCGACCGAGCCGACGATATATGATCTCGAAAAGACCTTACTGGATAGAGCTCAGATCGCTGCATCGCGCTCTCTCTCCCAAAAGTGTCCGGTGAACCCTTGAAAGACTTCTTGCCCTGGAGTGACGTGCTCGTTATCACTTTGTGACGACGTTATCGATATATTGGACATCGGAATGTCTCCTGTCGAGAGCGCTGAGGGTCTGCAATCGATCGGCAGTGAGAGCCACCGGTTGATACCGCTGTGCAGCATGATATATACAGAACGCCATGTGTTGCTCGCATCACGATACTTCTTCGGATCTAGGGGTTGGCACACAAATAACAAAGAGAGCTCCTCCGCTTCCTTCGAGCGGAGACATCTGAGCATTGCCCATGTCACCTCGTTCGTCGGAGAGAGAGCGCTACAGCTTTCTACGCCTACAGAACGCAAGAACCATGTCCCGGTCAAGGTTAATATTTCTATCGGAGGTCCGACGATGAGCATCGTCCCACAGGCTCTCATGATAGTTACTGAGCGTGAGCGATGATTGATAGGGGAAGAGCAAAGCCAACTAATAAGCAATCCGCGGTCGGGGCTGACTTGCCGTGAAATACAGTGGAAGTTCGTTGTAACGGGCTCGGAGGGAGCGGACGGAACGGTCCGTTATGACCGGTTTATGACCCTTTTATCAAATGATGGGTTCTGGATCGGCATTGAAAAAGGAAGTCATCGGGGTAACGGGCGCAGCCTTGCTCACGACGCGCATAAGGGCGAGGAACTTTGCAAATCGTCCGATAGGCCATCGCTTCCATATTCCCGTCTCGCAACAATGAAGCCATGATAACCGATTTGATCAGCATGAGAAGAGATAGGACCGAGGCCTGAAGATCATTCTGTCTAATCCGGATGTCCGTTGTTGGGTTCGCTATAGCCGTGACTCCTAACATTGAAGATTCCATCGGCTTGCCCAGAGCCAAGCAATCGGCCCGCTGTACGAGTGCCCGGTGTATACCAGGTCCGTCATCGCGAGGTTCTACCGTACACATGTTCTGAAAATGCTGTCGGATTACTCTAGAGTTCCCCATGTACGCAAAATTAGGAGAATAATCTCGTTTCAAGAGCAGAGCCGAGAGCCTGCCGAATCCACCGATATATCTCTTGAGCAAGCATATACCCAGCCGGGCGAAGAGAAACCGCATGCGTAGACGGAAGTCTAAACGAGCTCGGGTCGAATTCAGCGCAGTGGAGAACCTGATGACAAAATCAATATTTGTCCTCAGTCGGAGTCAATGAGCTCAGACGAACAAAAGAACTGGTTGCTCCGAGCTCTTGAGACAATCAAGACAGAAAATTACCCATGCTCTCTTTGTTCGGAACGCTTGGAAGGGCGAAATTGAGAAATCCTGGGATACGGCTTTGGCACTGACGATGAGTCAGGTCATGAGAGAATCACCCTCAAACTCACGTAAATAGACTAGTGTGACAGAGACATTCTCTATAAGATACGATAAGTTTTGGGAATCGAATTGGACTCGGAAGCTGATGTTGTTTTGGTTCAGTCTCGCAGCGACAAGGGTGATGAAAGATGAGGTGATGAGTGATGAGGTGATGAGTGATGAGTCTCTGCCGAAAGAAAGACAAACACAAGTTTCGAATTTAGATCGACAGTTTTGGAAAACCTAGCGACAACGAATTTGTCAACCTCCTAGAAAAACCCGTGGAAGGGCAGCGCTGAAAATCCTCAATTTAGCGGGCGTAGACTTGACCAGCCCACGGAAGGTGTGAAGTTTGGACCCGCAGCCATGTCTCTGATACCGCTCAATTATGACGAGAGACAGTAACAGAAGTAAGACTCTCACTCCCTGGAATCAGGAGCGCTCGAGGCTTTTTATTATTATCTCGTCGGAAGTCGACGCAGCTCACCCTCGAATTCATTCGGGCTCAGAAGTGAATCAAGTCGGTCATCGTAGATTCTCGATGCCCAGGAAAAACTGCGAGACGAAATCAGCATGCGAGTCAATCACATCATCGGGAGCCACATTCGCCCACCAGACACTGAAGCCTCTTTTCAAAAGTGTATTCTCATGTTTCAGATATTCATATTCCGCGTGCGGCAGGGCCCGTTCGATGAGGTATTCTATCAATGCGTCACGTATGGCTTCTATACGGCCGACTGGCAGGAACAGGTCTACGCATCAGTCTCATTGCTGCTCATGTTCATCATCCCGCTCATAATGTTAGTCCTCATGTACGCCAGCACTTTCTTCACCATCGCAAGTGAGTAGGAAAGATCGTCTCGTTCTAGCGAGGTACCTTTCCGGTAATGGCAGTTATTGAGATAAAGTCAGCTGCCTGATCCGGTAAAACTGCATCGGCGATCTGTCCTGCTGGAGGAGTAAAATCCTCGTGCAGGAGAAACTTATTCCAGAGCGAGGAATCGCGTCATGGAACAATCGCCAAGTTCAGCTGGGAGGGCCCCGCCTCCCCCTCGGTGACAGAGCTTAGCGACATACCTCCGTACATATATCTCGAATCTCATAACATGGGGAAATCGGCATGCAGGTAGTCAATTCATCAGGTAAAGAAAGTCCACGGGCATGAGATTCAGGCGGTTTTTTACCGATGTCAATTAGCGTTGCCGAATGGGTGCCCCCTTACAGTTTCACGGACGAGACCCACAGGAAAAGAGAAATAGAATTTGCGCGAGACAATGTCAAATGACATGCACAGATTCTCAGCAAAGCCCGCCATGATTTCCCGCGGGACAACCTGCGGGAGCTTGCTCCCAAGCTCGAGAAACCAGCGCGGCCTTGCGTGGCGCTCCAACGACTGTGTCTTGCAGAATAACCACGCGTTTCGGTTGCCTGTGGGGCTATGCCGTGCTCGACGGAAAAGAAATGTGCAGCTCAAAGGAATAAGGAGGAAAAAAGAGGCGAAACGCCGCACTTTCGATAAGGAGATTGTGCACCGAATGCTCGGATGCGTCCGGATCTCCGCTGACTGTCAGGGTGTTCCTAGCTTCAAGTGAATACTCAGTTCTCGTGCGAATCAACGACCTCGAGCATCGACGACTCTCTCTCCGCGGACCCCCCCCCCTCCTACCAGCACCTACCCTGTAGAGAAAAGACTGCCGTCCAGAAGGGTTCCTTTCGTAGCGGGAGGAACCTGCTGTCTCTCTATCTTTAGAAGAACGGTACTTGACAATGTATTTGAAAAACATTTATTTCGACGATCTGAGTGATGTTGGATGGTCGATCGACTCTATTCGACGAGGAGGGAAAGTTCCCTGAAGCTGTCGAAGATCTACAGCAGAGGCGCCCGTGAGGTAAATCAGATGACGGGCCCAATGGTGACTCTCAGGATTGGCAAGTAGCCAGCGCAACACCTCGTGTGAAGAGTGTAGGTAGTTCGGGTAGCGGAACGACGAGATGGGTACGCTCGAGACCGACACAAGACGGGCTTCATCCGGGAGAGGTAATCGGTTCTAGCTAGGAATCCCAAATTCGGAGTTCGGTCACCGACCGAGACGGTGTACTCCATGCGAGGCCTTCGCGGGAGCAATATCTCTCCATTGGTATGCGTGTATATGTAATGACTATTGGACACTAGACCTTGACGTATGCCTACGTGATGAGAACCCGGGGAATATCATAATTAATACCCGGATTGCGAACTCCGTCCAGCAGATCTACATGTGGGTTTCCCAACGTGGATTTCCCGGCTACTTCGGGAGCCCCACCTCCTCCCTGGAGGCGCCGCGGACGAATTTTCGGTTCATACTCCGGAGCATTCAGGGTACGACAACTACAAGGAATCATCGTCGAAAATCATCTTGCTGCGTGACTCCAGCTCTGAGCTCCTACCCTCCAGCAATGAAGGATGGAATCAATCTTCCCACAGCTCATTGGACGAGCACTTCCTTTCTCCAAGACGAAGTATCGGAACGGACTCGATACCCGCTAAGCTCCACGACTAGCTATCATAACCCGAACTCTTGTTCCATGATCGAGTTCCAACAAATTGCAATGTTGGCACACTGATACGCGTCGCGCTCCTCCGAAAGATCGTCTGCTTGCTCAGAAAATATCTGAATTCTTCTGCTCATTTTCCAATGAGTCTCAAGCACCCGCTCCAGTATTCGAATGAAGGGTTTGAATAGATCTCCTGAGCAGAGAGGATAAGACAGGAAGGGGAGCCTGGCTGCCGTCTGGGCGCCTCAGGAGGCCGCCTGCCTTCCTCAGGGAGTCGCGACACCAGAGAGGTTGGGCACCGCTCGAGATGATAATTACTCGATGGTGCTTTTTACTCTCACTTCGACCAACTGTGGACAATCGTCGAGAATGATGAATGGTCGCTGACACTATAATATATAGTCCGAGATGATACTTGCTTTCGTATATTGTGTGTGAATATGGGGGAATGCTTCTCGAAGTGTTTCTTGCGATACAGAGACCCGATCGGAACGTTGCGTCGCTGCGAAGCTTCTGGAGGGCGTTTTTTTTTTGGTCAAGAAAGGAGCTCCCGAGAATCCTCTAATTTCTCGCGCGACCCGAGGGCACCGCGATCCCCGCTGACGACTGGTATAACTCATGGAATATTTGCAGGCTCTACCCGGAACGATGAGATTCACTGATACTGATAGTCTGCGCCTGGTACTAAGGAAGCGTTTGACTCGATTTGATGAGAGCCTTTTTTCGGTCAGATCGGGATCTTCTTTTATTCAGCCAATGGTCTTCAGACCAGGCGCCCGTGGCGAATCGGTAACGAAACAAAATAAGGAAATGGATCATCTCGCAGCGTTCCGGGGCTCGTATTTTTACATATTCGTATCCGCCGCGAGCAGCGATCTGAAAGGAACCGTTTTCTGATGTTTTCCCAAGCATCTCAACCATGAAGGGTCCACCCGAGCCCCGTAAGACCTACATATTCGTCCACGGAGGTCGCAAAATTGCGTATGGAGCTCGCCTTGTGGAACGGGAGCCAGCTTCCACCAGCGAGCGTCCGCTTTAGCTTCTCGATTCGATCTATTTCTGCGTCTTTTGTCGCGTCTGTCCGCCTCGTGCGGCTCAGACTTTATTTACTGCCTGAGCGCTCTAACGTAGTCGATTCGCTTTCGAAAATCCTGCCACTAAGAGGCGTGATTTCTGTGGGAAGCGAATTCGGTGAGACCGCTCCCTGCAAACCGAGGAATCGACGGCTTCTTTTGTATTCTCTTCCGTCACAGTGAGTGCAGTCCGCAAACTCCGTGGCAAATCGATAAGGTCCCGGGGACACCACAAAGAATTCCGCGGCACAATCATGTTCTTTTTCAATTTGCCATCTCGGGTCCAACCGGGAGGGGAATTGATCCTATTTATTGACGTTGTGCTTGTCGGAGCCGCTGAATCGAGAACCGCCTCATGATTTTGTGGTCGAACGATTCGAACACCGATTATTATTATCATTGCCTTGCAGATCTACCCGGAATACATGAGAATCTTTCCAATCAATTGCAAAACCCTGGCGGTTTGGCGACGAGCTCCATGGAACAAGCCAGACGACGTCTTCTGGAGAAGGCGAAAAAGAAATCATTGATGATTACGGTTGTCATCGTTGCGGCCTTTGTCATCTGCTGGACTCCCTACTACGGGATGATGTTCATCTTCATTTTCAATCTGGATCCCGAGCAGAAGATCACTGGCGACCTTCAGTCGGCTATTTTCTTCTTCGGTGAGTTCTTCCCCTCTCGCGCATGCAGTCCCACCTTGACGTCGGAATCAGCTTCTTCTCCTAAAAGAATTCCCAGCGTGACCATTCTTATGTGTACATAGATGATCATTGGTGGAATGGACTAACGATTCACGATCCGAAGTGTCACATTATGATTCGATGCAAGAGGCTGCGACCGTGGATGTTGGACCGGTCATTCTTACTCTCCCCGGACTTCAGAACGCGCATGAGACTAGAAAATTCAAGTCTTCCGTTTCCTCCCGTCCGGGGTACCGTCAAACGGCGCCGGTGTGTCACCATTGACTTATTTTTTGCTAATGACGCGTGCAGCTTACGTCGCGACTCCGTCATTACTGTTCTGATCGCTTACGACTGTTCCGTTCGGTGTGCGCGAATAATGTTCTGTGGGCGCGACCGAGCAAAGCGAGGTAATACTTCCCCTCGGCCGCGGAGATATCGCAATCATTACGCTCCGCACTGGGGCTCCGCTCACTGCACGTAGCCTGAGTCGCACTCCGACGCGACTCTGTGGTCGTTCAATATCGACTGTCTAGCTGTAGTGTCCGTCCAAGCCTCGGAGACTCACGGATGAATAATGGCCCACAAGAATGATGGGCGAACTCTTCTCGTTCCGCAAAGATGCAACACTGGCGTGGAGCATTCTGGAAGCTACCGTGAGAAGCTCTCATCACCTCCAGCTGAGGTTTCCCTCGCCAGGGATTAGGATGAATCCGTATCAGCATACAAACTAGGATGCGGACTTCCTGTTTCCTGCTCTATTTCTTAGGATCATGAAGGCGGCTAATTATTACGGAACAAATCGGATTGTCTCGCTGAGGTCCCACGACAGACTCGTGTCCACGAAATCCATTCCACGCGCGACAATTTCAATGTCGCCGCATCTTGTTCAGGCTGCGCCCTCCGGAGCAGAGAAGTCAGCGTCCCTGGAGGCTCAGCAATCAACTCGTTCGAAGCATTTCCGCGGTTTCGGGTTAATTGTGAATGGGATACGGCTTATTCTGGTGGAACGTTCATATTAGTGCTTTGAGCAGCATGTTGCTCTTAGCCCTACCCCTTGGTATCGGAAAGCCTCGGGGAAATGCTGGGATGGCCCTGCGCACCCTAATGAACGCCTGAGCTCCTGTAATCTTGACGGCTTCCCCCGGCAGAAGGGATCCTTCAGAGTTCTCGCTCAGACGCGCTGCGTTCCAACGAAACTTGGGACCGGGAAGCAGGAGTTAAGTTTAGATCTCTTTATTTGAAGACAAAGAGATAAGCAAGCAGACCTGTGACATTGGAACCCTGGTCAACGTATGCTCGCCGTCTCGCGCGTGTCGGGCTGAGTTAGTGGCTTAGCTTCATCAGTAGGAGTTCTCGCTATGTTGACCAACGATCTCTCAACGAACAATAAGAGCGTGAGGGGAGGAGCGCTGAACTCTTCCCTCTTCTTTGTAGGCAGTTCCACGGCAATGTTCAATCCTGTGATCTATGGCGTCTTCCACCTTAGAAGACCGAGGAGCACGAAGCTTCAACATTCGACGGTCGTCCTGTCGACGCAGTCCTTCCGATTGAAACAATCCGCCACTCGGTATCATGAGTCCAACAATCGCACACAGGACCCTCAGAAAGTCCAGGTGGGTTCCTCTCTCGACTTTATCGCCAGATCGCTAGTGTTGAGGGTTTCCTAATTATTCTGTATCCACAGGTGGAGGTAAAAATTGAAGCGAGATGAGACTGCATTCTGCTTGATTCCGAGCCTTTGATGGAGTAGTTGGACTAGCCGAGCGCTACCCCGCGGAATATTGGGCTCTAGGAACTGGCCTTTCCTGTCCGGAGCGAGCTCACCGCCACGAGGATCTTGCCATCGAATTTATTCTCCAGAGAACGGCGTCTTCAGTCAGATTCACCAAGAATAGCCTCAACACTTTCCGCCGCCAGGCCTCCGCTTGAGCGGGAATCTCTCTGAGGCCGCGGCAGCAACGCAGAAGTCGCCCACTTCTCAAAGGAGACATGTCGACAGATCCTTCGGGAGTCTTCCCGCTTGGTTTGCGGTCTGAGCGCCGTGAGCAGCAGTCTGACAGGAGATCACACGGAAGAGCGAGTTCGTCGATACGATCTCGTAAGAAGTCATCCGATACCTCCGCGCATTCCGGAGTGATTCCTCCGACCAGCACAGGATTAGGAGAGAAATTGCCTCCATTACCCCATCCTACCTGATTCGTCCGGATCCTTATCGGAAAGTAGCGACTCGAGATTTCACGGATTCCTCGGTCTACATTGCCAACAGTCAATTCAAGTCTGCAATCCGGAAAACATTGGTTCCGGCACGCGTTCTGGGCGGCTTCTCGAGTGTCTTTGCCGAGAGCAAGCGCCATCTGCAGGCCATCGACTCGCAGCTTCCGCGTCGTGATGGAGAAGCCACGAAATTCCCTCGGCTGAAAAGTTTTGAGGCAGCATCTGTCGACTCGGGAAGTCGAAGGAAACCTGATAATTGGACTAGTGGGGAGTCGAAGGGAACCGTCGCCTAAGCGTGTTAATTCGGCCACGCAAAACCATATTTCCAGATGACTTTGGACGGTGCTCCATGCAGGCAATGCTCCCGCTGACCTCCTGATTGGGAATCTGGCTTTAGTCCTCGACACTTCGTACTCACCAGATGAACGCGGCCCATGCGCCGTTGACTTTCGCCAATTCCCCTCCCTGAACGCCCCATAGGCTGCTGATTCGCCTCGGGAATCGTCAGATCGATGGTCGAGTCATCTGAGCAGGAAAGCTTTGCTCTCGGAATCCGTCGCACACTTCCCTCCATCCGCATAAAAGGAAACATCACGGTCCGAGCCTCTCGTCGAGGGCTCAAGCAAAGCTCTCTCTAATTATTACGGAGGTCGTTACTCCCGGCTCCGGATTTGTTATCCGTTTGACGGTTATTGCTCACTGTGGGCTTTGGTCTTTTCCCGAATTTATCATAACATGCATGATACATGCTCCTATTACTTTCCGAATCCCTTCTATCGATGTGCTGCTCCATCCTCCCCTCGTATCATACGAGTATCCGTCGGAGGTTGAGAAAAGCGCATGAGAAAAGAAGAATCAGAGCCGGGCAGCGGGAAGGGATCAATTAGATGGTGGCGCTAAGCATTCATCCCGCTCACGCTCATTTCCGAGGCGTATCGACCTCTGCGATGGTCCACTTCGCGTCGGTGAAGGATTCACCGCCGCCGTTGCCCCTTCGGCGTGCCAAGTCGAACCATTCAACGGGTCTAGTGGGGTGCCGTCGCGCCGGAAGCCGTTTTCTAGTACGGCATATTGGAGCGACGCCCCATAGACGGTCCATACGGACCGGAAATGCCAAGAATTTCGGGAAAAGAAGGCTGAAAAAAGTGTGGATCTATTTCCGGGCGATTCATAAGATATATTAGGCATGAATTCCAAGAACGAATGGAATCGCATTATGTATTTGAAAAAAAATGTAAATATCTCTTTATGTGACTGTTCAGTGAGCATCCGATATGGAACGCTGGACTGAAGCTCCGCATGGGTCAATGATCCCGACTTATAGCTCCGAGACTTGTGAATCCGCCTTTGATCAGACGGAAATGCCTTTCAATATGAACGAACATACCGCAACAGTTCGTCCCAGAGCATTTGAGGAGATGCAAAACTCTGTTCAACTTTTAGTGTATGATCCGAGAGGATTGCTGAAGGTCAGATCCAAGATTAGGAAATCGAATCGATCAATTGCGCACAGCGAGCCGAACAACTATGATAGAAGAAAGCGAGGCTGATATTTTTTAAAACCAATACGTAAACCTGCTTCCAAAGGAAACGGCGCGGAAGCTACCCACTGTGCTCAGGAGTCGAGAAGCTTGTTACGGGTAGCCGAACATTTTCGATCTTGGACTCCGATAGAAATTTCCGAGCAGAAAGCGAACCTTCAGACTCCTTGGCGACCGCACGCGTTTGAGGTTGGATCCCGGAATGGGTCCATCGGTGATGTTCGAGCTATCCGAAAACGATCGGGAGACACTATTGGAGAATGGTTACAGAATCGGACGTTCTCGTCAGATTCGCTGCGAGTATGTATATAATTCTAATAAAACTCTGTTTGAATTAGCAAGACAAACATGTTGTGTTCTCCTTTGATGAGGAGAGTTTCTATCAGGGAAGTTTGCGAGCTCCGTAATTTGGATGGAAACATCTTGAGTCTGTGGCACGGGAAGCTAACAAAATGTCAGACATATAATGGCTCCCGCGGTCGAATCGCATTTGATGAAGAAGCGGAACGCCGGCACCGACGGGATCCTGTCTCCCGACCAACGAAGATCGCGGGAGTCAGGGGAGCCGCCTCTGAGGAAGGATGATGTCTCGGGGAAGAATACTAGTTCCGAGTCTTCGATTTCGATCCTTGGATAGAAAGCATACAGAGAGATGACCTCGTGGGATTCGTCCAAGCTCTCACAGTCCCTCCCGTGGATTTCGCTCACGGAAACGTCATCGGCTATCGGAATCGCAGCATCAATCACTAGGTAGGGGCGGCGTGTACCAGTGACTCATGCCTGGGAAAGTTCGGTTCCGAAATATTTTTGACGGATATCCGCGGCGGTGAAGTGAGAACCTCTTTCGGTTCCTGATCTCATCATCTCGAACCAGTGAAATGGGTGCAGACTGATCGCGTTGCCGTCTACATCCGACTTCCTTACCTCGGAAGGACGCCTCTCGCTGTCGATTTCGAACAATGAATTCCCAACCCCCGGGCTTCTCACCGCGGATAGCGAGGCGTCAAGCATTGGATCGGAGAGAGCTCACGCGTTCCACTTTAGCCATCGAAGGGTATAAGGTCGCTGGTTCTCGGTGCTCGACACAATCTCATTTCCTGCTCGCAGCCCGTCGAATTCAGGTTTCCGCTCCGATGCGGCAATTACCTGAAAATCGGAATGTTTTCGTTTCGCGGGAGCTTCCACTGCGTGCTTCACTTTCCTTCCGACGGAACGACGAAATTTCGTGTGTCTGCCTGGGCCCGACGGCCCGACCCGTCAGCGATTCATTGGACGATTCCGTCCATGAAACTTTTTGAATGAGTTTAGCTAAACGCATTCCATGCTGTCAACAAGCTGCTCATGAAAGGGCAATATGACATTCCTCTTCATTTTCAATTCAGGGCGCGCCTCGAAGCTCGTTTTTCTCGAGGATCTTATTTCGTCCTCGGCTGCGTTGTGAAAGTTCCTGCCCCCTCTTTCTCCACTTCACTTTACAGGCAAATTACGAGGAGTGGTTGCTTTGAGTCTCCAGAAGCCTGCCGTACAGGTTTCATTTGTATGTCCTTGTAAATATTAAATGACGGTGCCGCATCCGGTCGACATCGGGAGTCTTTCCACAGACCGTATGAATATTTTCAGTTCCACAACATCGTCAGCTACGAACATCCACAGCGTCGGGTGAACTTGGAAGGAGCTAGTGTTTGCGATTCTGGGACGGATGAAGACAGTGTCATCATCAGACAGGAAAACTTCGTCCGGATCCGATGAGGTCAGCTGCGAATTTCAACTTTGGTAGAACACGAGTTCCTTATTCCGGGATGAGAATTTCTGTAACAAATATCTTTGACTTCCGGAAGCCTGATTCTTCATGCTCGTGTGAGCATACATGCATGATATATTTTCGGAACGAGGACGTCTTAATGAGTGGAGAGAAGGAGCGGAACTGGTTCGGAGTCGCCCCCAACAGAAGACAACTTGGGACATTGAAGACGTCATGCGTGAGAAGAGCTATCGCTGAGTCGAGCAGGAAAATCAGGTAATCACTCATTCACTCATCAACTCTTTCCTCTGCATGAAATTGGGGGAGGGGGAGGAACTCTCATTTACGAGGAGATTCAAGAGTTTCTGAGGTATCTACAGAACCTCCTAGCTGAGATGTTGTTCATGATGTTATTGGGGACAATCGTCTTCGACGGATCGGTGACCCCTGAATGTTGTGGTCAATCCTCGGGGAGCTTTTCGCACTAGCACTCTCGATAAGTTTGGAGAAGTATCGTTTGTCGGCCTCACGGTGGGGTAGGCCGATTTGCTCCGATTTACTCTCCCCGTCTGCAAGGAATCTTTTTCTTTCCTTCTCCAGCTTGAGAGGGTGCTCCAGACGTGGAGAATGTCGTCGTAATCGGTGAGACCACGTTCGATCGAGTCACTTTACTCTCGCATGAGCTGTCGACGACTTCCAGAGACGATCGCATGCGCACTTTGTAGTGTACAATAAACTCTCATTGGTCGTCTCCATGACGAATGCTCGAATCTGAGGACGACGATGGCCGGAGCGTGACCTATGGCGCGAATGGCCGCTCGAAGACTGCCTCCTCCGACATCCGAAAATCCCTATCGACTGTTAGCGCAACAAGGAAATAGAGGGCTTGTGGACGTCGAGCGGAGAGATTAGATGAACATACTACGTGATGAATCAGGTGTGAGGCAACTCGCTCCCAGGAATAGTGATTGATCGTAGAACCAGAAGCTAATGGATTCGTAGCCGGCCATGAGCCCACACGAGCACTTGCAACGAAAATAGAAGAGAACGCACGATACAGCTCCTCTTCCCGGTCGAAGCACTGCCTAGGAATAATGGAGCTCACAATCTCTGTGACAGAGATTTTCTCTTTTTACTGAGTGCATGTTTCCGATTCATGACGCTAAGCTGATAGCTCCGCGCAGACTGTTAGGTACAGCGGAGAACTGTCGTCAAGACTTGTGGCGCCACTGCTACATGTCGACTCGATACGCAGTGTACCTACGCGACACAAGCAAGAACTGCTTTCGGCGCTGAATAGACGGCAATCGAGATATGCAACGCCGATATCAGACATCTCCATGGCCGCGACTTCGCGGTATACATCCATCGCGCTCTCATGCGCGCATATTTGCGTTTCGTCTTCAGGAAACCTCAATCCTGACGAGGGAGCCGATATGGACGATCCTC